CAGTCATGTGAATTAAAAATTCTATCGTTTGCCTCTATTTACAGTCTACTCTAAAAGAACTAAGAGAACTTGAGGCAAGAAATACGAACAAAAATCTGGAAACACACAGTGGCCAATAGGAATATGCAAACTCACCTTCACACTGGGCAATGGAAATGACTTCCAATAATTTCAGCCATGCATGTATTGCAGCGGTAGCCGATTACATTTTCATTGCACTGGCTTTGCAGCTCAATGAGCATGCACAGTGTAGCGTACTGCGCGTGACGCAAAGTTGAAAACTCAAGATGGTTCTTACGACAGTAGGCAAGAAATGAATCCCGACTCTTCATCATATTGCCGCTTTGCAGCTCGTCCACAACTTCCTGCATGGGCTCAAGGTACGCAACCTTTTCCGAAGAAATCAGCGTGATGGTGAAGAACGCCTGGCCAAAGGGAACAAAAATAAAGCTAATGTAAGGAAATATTGGCAGCAACGAATACAACAAATCAGCGTAGGCGGTATTAGTCATGAAGTTGGTTGCTCCAACCAGGAGCACAAACGTCTTGCCGAACTTGATACAATTTGTATTTAGCAGGCAGTGGTGCTTTCTTTCAGGTTTGCCGAGCGGAAGGTGCTACGTGCTCCTCGTGTGCTCCGGATGGCAATCGTGAGTCAGTCAAGTGTCAAGTTCGGCAAGAAGCGTGTGCTCCTCGTTGGAGCAACCAACTTTAGTACCATTATGACACACCAATATACTCTACAAAAAATAAGTCACTTTCAAACATCGAACTTTACGTGCGGAAACTCATTTTAATATTCAGATACAAGGGCATACGTTTTCGATATCCACCTCGCATAATCCTTGGACTTTTTAACAGAGAGCGTGTCGTAATTTGCAATCACCTGTGTCCCACAGATGAAGCTGTATGCGCTGATAGGCTTACAGTGTGTGCGTCGCAAACTTGCCTCACCCAATGCCAGGCTTGCACTGTAAGTAGAGAAAGTATTGCGTCAACCTCAACTGCAGGACTGAAACGAACACAATTTCTCAGCAATCGAACGTTCTTGACTCTAACGAACGAACGAATGAACAAACAAATGTTCTTGATTGATAATTCATGCAAATCGTCAGGTGTCTGACAAGGGCATGAATACCCCGCCACATGATACAGGCAAAAAAGTATACTTCAGAGAGGAAACCAACGCCATTGACATAAAAACCTTAAGCGACCTTGCTTCGCTCTCCGTTGAGAGCAACATCGCCCCAGAAACGCTGTCAGATGGCTCCGTAAGGTTGCACGCATGCCGCGCTGTGCTGCCCCTCACTCGGGTAAATAGAAAGCCGATGGTAAAAATATTTGTCTCTGTGGGACTATTTACACGGGGATTGCTCTCCGCATCTTCTAAACCATAACTGGCATAAACACTGTGTGTCCATCGCACTTATACTCACATACCAACAGGAGTAGCATATCGGGATTGTTGGTCTCGCACTTTGCTGATTGTAATAAAACATTTGTGTCGAGCATGTTGGGAAAAAAATTTCAGTTCTAATATTTGTTACCTCGCAAATGTTCATTCTGCAAAGCTAAATTAACGAATATTTGAATAGTCGAGATACTCATTTCAGCCCTATCCTAAAGCATGTCTCATGCACGGCTTTCCCTTCCCAATGGTGCATGATTCTCCCACAATTGCGTTTTTGGACCAAATTATTGATTACAAAATTTCCCATGCGGGCTATTGTGGGTAAAATGGCTAAAAAAGGCTTTTGAGAAGAATATCATAATTTGTCATCTTGATTTTGATAGTGAAGGGCTGCACTAAAACTGCTTTCTTGCTCATGACATTCAACTCCGAAGAAACAATCAAGTTAGAAACAAATCTAAAACATGCGTTTGCAATCAAACCAGTCGTCGCAATCCACGAGACACGGGTATACACAACGCAAAGAAAGAATGAAACCATGGACCTACATTTTTATCCTTCTCCAGCCGGGTCAGGACACGCGCAGCGAAATCTTTCCTCTTCCGCGCCGGTGCCGGCTTGCTCTTCTTCTTTTGGCTGTTCTGCGGCTGTGAGCATCCCTTCTTGCCATTCTTCTGCTTGACATCATAGCAATACAGGCACACAACAACAGACCACGGTCGTCATAGCAATACAGGCACACAACAACAGACCACGGTCATCATACCCCTCACACACCTAGCCAATAAAAAAAATCATCCACATGGATCACTGCATTCTCAATCAAATATTGTCTACTTTTCTTTTCTTTTCATTTTCAATTATCCCGTTATCAGCCCTCTTAAGAGTTCAGTATATCACTTTTGAGGCATCCGATGGTAAGGAAAATAAATACTAATACTAGTCGTTGACAAGTGACGGCTCTACGGCTTCAGGAAGGCATTGGCTAATGAAATAAAGCTACCCCTACTTGATGGAAGATTGGCACACGCCAAGCTTTAAGCTAGTGTATGGTTTGTCTTGTTCCCACACTGAGAACACCTATCTAACGTATCTTCCCAGTTCCAGAGCAGCGTAGCGCCTCTTGCTATGTTATTTACGAGGTAATATTTCAATGGCCAGTATTTTAGAATCACTACTGTATCCTTAATGTAAGTATTGACCCTCAGGCAGCCTCCTCCTAATCTAGTGCTAACTTTTAAGATCTGATCAAGATGAAAGAACGTTGAGTAATAGTACAAAGAAGTTGGAGTGCAGAGCAGTACAATTTGAGGAATGGCTGTCAATACATCGTTGTTTTGCATAACATAAGAAACGGATTTTTTAGTAACAAATTCGGCGATAATTATAAGAAAGTTCGTTGCTGTCAATGTTCGAGCTTGCACCTCTCCCACTTTTCCGTAATAACATAACGAGTCCACTGAACAGAAAAGTGGGAAAGGTGCAAGTTCGAAAATTGAGAGCAACGAACTTTCTTATAATTATTGCCGAATGTGTCACCTTCATCCCATGCACTCCATCATCTCAGCGGCATTGAAAAAAGACAAATTACCAACAACCATAAAACGAACAGCGGCCGGCGCCCAAAATGCATACCAACCAATGGTAAAATGTTTGAGATGTAGTTGAATTCGGGAGAGAGAGAGAGGTGTAAACCATCAGTCCTGCTCTACACAGAAGATAATGCATACCTCGGCCTCAGCTGCGATTTTCTCCCCTTTTCCTCCTGGACCATCTGCTCAAACACGTAAGGCCAGTGATCACCCTCAAATTATGGTATATCGGTTGGTACGCTGACTTGATCTTGAAGTTTAGACTGGTGAATATCCTGAAAGATCAAAAAAGTGACATTAGATTGCCAGTATAACAATAGGGATCAAACGGCTACGGTTTTCACCTTAATGGTTAACTGCTACGCTTACAGTCGATTTATCGGAGTACAACCTATAAGCTAGAGCAGTACGGCGTGTAGCTAGTTTGAACAGTATAGTACAATATCCTTGTTTGAAATGTAACGTGCGAAATTACTACTAATACATACAAATGTCTGCTTGCTCATTCACATAGATTCACAGATCAGAAGCACTAGAAAGATGTCATGAAGTTGATTCAAATTGTCATGAAGTTATTTCAAATTGTAACGGAAGGTACTATGTAGTGTACATTGATGCATGTGTGCGTTGGATACCCTTTCGGTGCGCAACTGTCATAAATTCAATACGTAGATCACTAACGCTACACTAACGATACCCTTTCGGTGCACTGGGATCATCTGTATAAACTTCCATGGTGTTGGATAACCTTTGGATGAGGTATCGGTGGCACATAGCTACTCTTGCTACTCTGGAAATCAACAAATTTTCGCCGGTGAGAAACTTTGGCAGATTTAGAAAAGATCGTTCAATAGTTGTTGCCCTCACGTGCAGCCATGGCTGAATTATGCATCATTTGCCTCGATGACAAATTTTGGCCTGCGGTTAATTTTGGCCAATTGGCACCAAGCGGCGGAATCAGCGAAATTAAATCGCCAACGAAAATGAGTTGATTTAGAGCACTTACGCGAAACTCGATAACAATTTACTGCACTGTCCAGCATTGTTACTGAATTGTTTCTACTACTACTAGCTTAATTAACCACCCCTGCATCCAACCCTTGGCATGCTACAACCGACAACCGTTGCAAACTTGGGTGAGAGAATACATACAGTAGATTCAGTATAAACTTGGAAAAGAAGATCATCGAAAGAATGAAAAAGGCAGCTGCATCAGCATGCAGCTGCGCATCAAAATCAAATGTAAAGATGGCGACCATGAACGACTGCGACGTGGATAAACTGCAAAACAAACTAGTGCAGCGACACTGACTCGAATGAGTAAAGAAGCGGAGAAGACGAAACGGCAAGGAAAGCGGATCGCTACGATCGCTCAAATGCACTAGCCTAGAGCGTGCATAGCGCATGCAGTCAAACGGTCACGTGATAAGTGCGTACACAAGTCATACGTCATAATAATGCAGTTGACAAAGAAAAGGAAACAAAGCTGAGCGCGAGGCAAACAAATCTGCAGAGCGCGAAAATATAAACACATCGAACGAAGGATTTGTTTGAGAACAAAATGCACAGGCAGACAAAGAAGAAACAGTTCGAAGCTAGAATCAATGTCCGTGTTTCTTAGAATCAATCATGGAGAAAGCTAACTAAGAGTAACTACCTCTGTCACGCAAGACCGGACCTAAACACCTACGAAGTAAGAATTGATGTGTTACGAGAAATACGTGTAGTGAAATAAATTGGTGTGCATTGCATCGTGACACAACTTGCCAAGCTGCATGTACGTGACTGTAAATGTACAAACAACATGCAACGTCGTAGTAAGCACAATCGTAACTCGTGAATTCCGTGTTGTTGACTCAAGGCAAGCAGTACCTCGTGTACACGCTGACAACGACGAACGAATTGATTAGACTCTGATAATAAATACTAATAATATGAAAGAACAACAAAACGTAAATGTCACCTACGATTACACAACACCTCTCCCCCAGGTGAATTTACAAGGAGAGGCGAACAGGGGGGCGAATCGAAGCACGATCGCGCAACCCATAACCATGCTGAACGACAGGAATAGGCCAATCTAGACTGACTAGCGATTCCTCCTCCTCGGGCAACTCAGCAACAACAGGAGCTGGAACATTAAGAACAGCAGGCTCACGAACGGGAACAGACTTCAACAGGGCGACATTGACAGTCTTGTCGCGACGACCAGGCTTCGAAATACTAACAGTGGAGGGTGAAACAACAGACTGTACAACCCAACCGTCCTCGAAAGCAGACTGACGTTTCTGGTGACGGTCAGGACGCAACAACAGGACACAATCACCAACCTGGTAAGGGCACGGTTGGACGGGCTCGATAAAGTCTGTTCGGGACAAAGCATCATCCACCAAATCTCGAATGCGTGCTGAACGAGCAGACAGGGTATCCACCCAATGACTCGCCGAGTACAGCAATGGCTCGGATGCAATTAACAGATGAGGTGGCTGCCAACCAACCATAGCTTGCATGGGCGACAGACCAGTTGCACTATGGGGGCGATTACGGTAGCAGTACAAGAGCATATCAAGGTCCAACAGCCAATCACCAGTGGACGAATCTAAAACCTTGCGCATCAGCCCGAGCACAGTGCGATTCATGCGCTCCGCAGACCCTTGTGATTGCGGGTGACGCACAGCACCAGTACGAACAGTAACACCCATAACCGAAAACAGGGAAGACACAATGGCATTGCAAAATTCCGTACCATTATCCGTACGAACACTATCTGGTGCACCCCAGACCTGACACATCCGCACAAAAGCAGCAGCAACAGAAGCAGCATCATGGCGCTGTAGCGGAGCAATTTCAACCCACTTGGTGAAAGTGTCAACACACACCAAGACACAATGAAAGGGGGAACCATTACTCGAGCCAAGCTCTAGAACATCTAACACCACCTCACCCCATGGGCGACCAGAAATAGCATGACGCGAAGCAGCAACAGACGGACCACGACGAGGGTTAGCAGCACTGCATTGCAAACACTGAGACACAAAACTCTGACACACAGACGCAAGACCAGGAAAGAAGCAGCACTGACGCAACATATAGTACATCTTCTCCCAAGAGCCATGACCAGACACTTCATGAGCATTAGAAACCACAGCAGAGACTAACGCAGCAGGCACAACAGGAACTATCACAATGCCATCAACAGGCGATTTGACAGACCGATACAATACACCATCATCAAGCAACAACTGCGTACGAACATTACGGTACTCACTGGGTAGTGGCTGATCATGTTGAAGGCCACTGATGACGGACTGTAGCGTAGCGTCATCGGCCTGAGCTGCGGTAATGTCGGTCAAACGAAGTGCACACGGCAGGTGGACACTTGGCGCAGCGGCGACACACTCATCCGGATCAGCAGCAGGCGGCGGCTCAGGAACATCAGGCGGCTGCTCAGCACGCTGCAACAACGACTTGGCACGCTGATTCCACAGGTCCGGAACACGGGTGAGAACGTCGGCGCGGTTCTCTGCACTGGGCACCCACTCGATTCGTGCACGTAAACCAGTTACATCGAGTAGATCAGCAAGGACCTGGAGACGCCGTTGAATGAGAACATCATTCAATCCCTTAGTCCGCACTCGCTGGGCATTGGTGAACACTTGGTCCAACCAGGCAGCGACTGTCTTGGAGTCGGTTTTGACCAGCAAATCCCGCACATTCCATGACACTGCAAGCTTGACGCCCTTGATGGCCGCGTCCAACTCAGCCACGTTGATGTGGCGACGATCGCTGACTTGGCGCATCCACGTGCCATCTTCAACCCCGTCACCCCCGATCTCCAACGACGCACCGAGGGCAAGGTCCGAAGCATCGCACCACACAGTAGCAGAACTGGTCAGATCCGCATGCCATACACCACGCACCGGATCATGATTGTGGAGCCTTTGCTGCAGGTCAACACATATCTGCAGCAACTCAGGTGACACCGTGTCGTCCCAGCCGCGACTCTCTAGGCATGCCAAACGCTTCGCCATACTGCACGCGGGCCGCAGCCAACCAACGACGGGGTAATGGCTGGTGAGACGCCCACACCACTGAAACACCTTGCGCTTGGTGAGTGGCTCATCAAACGCTGTCTTGACTCCGTCACGGCGGCGCCACTCAGTACGGCCATCTGGCGGCGTTGACAACTGCAAGCCGAGAACACGAGAAGTAGGCATTGGTTCCGCCGGCTTGGTCTCCAGCCCATAGCTAGCCAGGCGCGCAGTCACCGTCTCTGTCAGGGCAACAGGTACACGAACGTCGTCAATATAGTTGTCGACGTCATCAAACTCTCGAGTCACCCAGCGCACAATGATGTCCATAAATTTCGGCGCAATGTTCAGCCCGAATCCCATCCGCGTCATGACGTAAGAGCGACCTCGCCATACCACGACCTGGTAGCGCAGCAGATCAGGGTGAACACGAACTTGAAGGTATGCCTTCTTCAGATCAACCAGGACATAACCATCAGGGCCCTTGACGCGCCACGACCGCAGCGTCTCGGCACATGCTGGGGCGTCTAGACCAGGACTTGAGATCAGTCGTTCGTTCAGTAGCCGGTAGTCCAGACAAGGACGGACAGGTGTGCTGGCCTTGTGCGGCTGGCTGACTGCCAACAACGGCAAGACGCATTCCGGAGCACCATGAACAGCCTCATCGTGAGGCACCATCCACCCAGCATCGATCCAGCCCTGGATCTCTGCACCAAACTTGCGCTCTTCTTCGTCTGTCAGTTTGGAGCGGGAATACTCACCGATCCCGTGGCCGACTGGTGCATGCGGTGGCTTGCCATCTCGCCATTGCCAGTTGAGGGTCCAGCAACGCTGCGTGGCGTCCCAACGTACTGACCCATCGTCGGACGTCAGGATGATGTCGTCCCCGTCGGTCTGACAGCTGACATGCCGCAGTGGAACGTCGGCCACACCAGCTGTCACGTCGGCATGCTGGCCGAGCGTCACGCAGCACAAGCTGCCATCGTCATCGTAGCGCAGGTGCAGACCCCCACACTGCGCAATAGTGTCAGACCCGAGCAGAACATCAGTGCCGACCACAGACAGACTTGGAACGACGAGAACCTCCATGGCGACAGCGGGGATACTGACACAATCATCTTCCCGGACGAACTTCAACAGCGCACTGCCCAGGATACGCAAGGGTTGGCCATCCAGCGCCACCACTGGTTGGCCCGTGTGGGCCGTCACAGGAGTCCCGAGCTGGTCGACAAGTGCTGACGTCACCAACGTCCGGGTAGAACCAGTGTCTATGACGGACCGCACACGGACTCCCGATGCAGTGTCACAGGACACATCAACAAAGACCTTTGGCAATCCCGGCCGTGCCAAATTCGCCATGCACAGGCACCTGTCAGACTGCACTGGCTCTGCAGCTGCTGCCGAGGACTGTGCCAAAGAGGCGAGGAACTTGCGGCGCAACCGACAGTCCCTCTTCATGTGGCCCTCTTGATCGCAAAAGAAGCACATAAGCGGTCTCTGCTCCTTGGGCGGAGGGCGTGGCTTCTCATTGCCCCTCTGCTGCCGTCCGCCCTTCTGGTACCGGCGATGTGGACAGTTGCGCTGGACGTGCCCAACCTCATTGCAGTTGAAGCACAACACACTGGACTGGCGAAGTTCCGGAGCAGCAGCGGCAACAGCTCCCGATACACTGGCACGCTTGCGGCAGGAGTCGTCCGTAGATCGCAGAGCACGGACTTTGGCGACGCACTTAGTGACAGTCAGGTCTGACTCCATGCTCGCCATGCGCACCTGCCGTCCATAGTCCAAGGACAGGCCATCCAACAATTGCTCGAGCAACACCATATCCTTGTCGTCGGCACATGTGTGGCCGGACAGCGCCAATAAGCGCTTCAGGTCGGTGACGTAGGTATCCACGGGCTCATCGTCACGGAGCGTCCGCGCTTTAAATTGGCGGAACGCATCCGCCGGGGTCATGGTGTAAGCAGACTCCAGGGCCTTCTTTACTGCTGATTCACTGGCCTTGTCAGTATCAGACAACTGCTCAAACAGGTGGAAGGCATCACCATCCAAAAACAATGGCAACGATGCCATGCGGTCGGTTTCCGTCGACAGTTTCTGTAATCGGCACAGAACCAAAAACTTCCTCCAAAACAACTGGAAGTCTTCGCCTTTTCCTTTGAACGCCCTCAAGTAACCATCCATTTTGATGGATGCCATGGTTACACTGCCACTGCACTGGTGTAGCTCAAACCAACACCACAAACACTACAAATACTCAAATTCACTCGACTGCCTCCTGCAGTTCTACACGAGCACTCGACCGGTCCTGAGGCTCTGTTCGATCGGGTTTCGGTACCACTTGTTACTGAATTGTTTCTACTACTACTAGCTTAATTAACCACCCCTGCATCCAACCCTTGGCATGCTACAACCGACAACCGTTGCAAACTTGGGTGAGAGAATACATACAGTAGATTCAGTATAAACTTGGAAAAGAAGATCATCGAAAGAATGAAAAAGGCAGCTGCATCAGCATGCAGCTGCGCATCAAAATCAAATGTAAAGATGGCGACCATGAACGACTGCGACGTGGATAAACTGCAAAACAAACTAGTGCAGCGACACTGACTCGAATGAGTAAAGAAGCGGAGAAGACGAAACGGCAAGGAAAGCGGATCGCTACGATCGCTCAAATGCACTAGCCTAGAGCGTGCATAGCGCATGCAGTCAAACGGTCACGTGATAAGTGCGTACACAAGTCATACGTCATAATAATGCAGTTGACAAAGAAAAGGAAACAAAGCTGAGCGCGAGGCAAACAAATCTGCAGAGCGCGAAAATATAAACACATCGAACGAAGGATTTGTTTGAGAACAAAATGCACAGGCAGACAAAGAAGAAACAGTTCGAAGCTAGAATCAATGTCCGTGTTTCTTAGAATCAATCATGGAGAAAGCTAACTAAGAGTAACTACCTCTGTCACGCAAGACCGGACCTAAACACCTACGAAGTAAGAATTGATGTGTTACGAGAAATACGTGTAGTGAAATAAATTGGTGTGCATTGCATCGTGACACAACTTGCCAAGCTGCATGTACGTGACTGTAAATGTACAAACAACATGCAACGTCGTAGTAAGCACAATCGTAACTCGTGAATTCCGTGTTGTTGACTCAAGGCAAGCAGTACCTCGTGTACACGCTGACAACGACGAACGAATTGATTAGACTCTGATAATAACTACTAATAATATGAAAGAACAACAAAACGTAAATGTCACCTACGATTACACAACAGCATTGTCTTGTACCACAGTTGTAGAAGCTTATGTGTGAGCATCCTTTGCCCAGGTGGATGACAGTGGAAAATATAGTTTTCGTTTTTCCCAGGAGGGCAGGCCCAAAGGTTAACAGCGACAAAGCCTCGCATAGCTACATAGTTCTTATAGGCAATAAGCAGCTCATAATACACTTGAGTACGCAACTGCTTTGGCCGGAAGAAATGGACACTGTCCAGATACGAAAGGTATACACACCTACAATATAAATACGCAGAGAACAGAGAGCAAGTCTTGAAGAGATTTCACTCAGCAGTCAACGGTGTTACATGTAGTCCATGCACTTGTACAGCAAACTAAACAAAGTCAAAGTCGAGAGAGAGAGAGAGAGAGAGAGAGAGAGAGAGAGAGAGAGAGAGGGAGAGAGAAAGAGAGAGAGAGAGAGAGAGAGAGAGAGAGAGAGAGAGAGACAGACAGAGACAGAGACAGACAGAGAGAGACAGAGAGACAGACAGACAGACAGAGGGAGAGAGAGAGAGAGAGAGAGAGAGAGAGAGAGAGCGAGAGAGAGCCCGTGTGCGATAGAGAGAGAGAGAGAGAGAAGTAGAAAGAGAGAGAGAATGAGAGCAGAAGCACAAGATGGATATAGATCTTACCACCTATTAGGCTCGGGACAGTCAGAATCAAACTCATGCACGATCATGCCAAAGAAGCACACGTCCTTGCCATCAATTTCCACAAAAGCAAAGACAGACTTTGCTACATAAGGAAACTCCTCTGGGAAAGATGTAGCACTTAGCTCCTCAAACCTGGCATTAATGGAAGAAACATACACATACACGCACATGTACACAGAAACACACACACAGAGTTGAGTATAATGAAAAAGGCTGGCTTGTATGACAGATGTATGATGATTTGTGAAAACTCTCCGCACTAACAGAGGTCCATATGAATGAGCAATACTAGGACACAGCGATAGACAGGTGGTACCCAGTATATTGCTTCTAGCCACAAGGAAAACACTGAAAAACATACCAGAGATTCCTGCCCGTTTTCTTGAAGTACCCTTAGATCTTTTTTTCTGGCTTGAGAATACAGTAGGTATACTATGGTTGGCACATTCTTTGGTGCACTATTTGCTGATCAAACCTTATGACGGCACAGAACCTTGATAGGTAGAATGTCATATACAGCAAAGTGAATAAACAAAAGCCACACCCTAGATTGATTTGGAGAGGGCTCTTACGACAATATAATTATGTCTAAATATGCGTGGAATATATGGGAAAAAAACCCAACAACAGCACCAGATCACCACTGCCACCAACAACAGACATTACTTACTTTTCTTTGGTGGCATCTTTGACCTTCACTGTCTGCTTGCTGCTGGAGAGCACACGGATGTGAACGTGGCCAGCTTCACGGTTAGTGTCAGCAGTTGTAAGGTAAGCGTTGATTCTCTCCTCAAGGTATGTAGCCAGAGCATTGCGCGGCAGTGCTACAAACAACAAGAGAAAAAGTCATGAACAAATATTTAGGTTTTCTTCAGGTGAACAATAAGACCAGTATCAATGCCCAGATTTCGCACATTCCAGATAACCCAATAACCAACCCAGTCGTACTCCCTCTCCGCTCTCTCTCTCTCACTCTCTCTCACCTTCTCTCTCACTCACTCTCTCTCTCTGTCACTCTCACTTTCTCTCTCACTATCTCTCACTCACTCTCACTCTCTTTCTCTCACTCACTCTTTCACTCACTCACTCTCACTCTCTCCGTCTTTCTTTCTTTCTCTCTATCTATCTCTATCTATCTCTATCTATCTCTCTATCTCTCTCTCTATCTCTCTCTATTTCCCTGCATCTCTCCGTATTTCTCTGTATTTTTCTCTCTCTCTCACTCTCACTCTCACTCCCTCCCTCACTCACTCTCCCTCACTCACTCTCACTCTCTCTCTCTCTCTCTTTCTCTCTCTCTCTCTCTCTCTCTCTCTCTCTCTCTCTCTCTCTCTCTCTCTCTCCCTCCCTCCCTCCCCCCCTCTCTCTCTCTCTCTCTCTCTCTCTCTCTCTCTCTCTCTCTCTCTCTCTCTCTCTCTCTCTCTCTCTCTCTCTCTCTCCCTCTCTCTCTCGCGTGTGCTTTTCGTTGGAGCAACCAACTGATTGTAGTAAAAATTTGTGTCGAGCATATTGGGAAAAAAATTCAGTTCTAATATTCGTTACCTCACAAATGTTCATTCTGCAAAGCTAAATTAATGAATATTTGAATAGTCGAGATACTCGTTTCAGCCCTATCCTAAAGCATGTTTCATGCACGGCTTTCCCTTCCCAATGGTGCATGATTCTCCCACAAATGCGTATTTCGACCAAATTATTGATTTCAAAATTTCCCATGAGGGCCATTGTGGGTAAAATGGCTAAATAAGGCTTTTGAGAAGAATTTCATAGCTTGATTTTGATTGTGAAGGGCTGCACTAAAACTGATTTTCTTGCTCATGATATTCAACTCCGAAGAAACAATCAAGTTGGAAACAAATCTAAAAAATGCATTTGCAATCAAACCAGTCGTCGCACTCCACGAGACACAGGTATACGCAGTGCAAAGAAAGAGTGAGACCATGGACCTACATTTTTAGCCTTCTCCAGCTTTGTGAGGACACGCGCAGCGAAATCCTTTCTCTACCGTGCCGGTGCCGGCTTGCGGCTGGGAGCATCCCTTCTTGCAATTCTTCTGCTTGACATCATAGTAATACAGGCACACAACAACAGACCCGTCATCTCGTCCACAGTCCATGGGTTTGGATCCCAGATTAAGTCGAGCTTGTTGTGCTGCCGTTCGTTCTTGTGCAGAACTTGTTGACCCGGCTTGAGGGTGATGGTCGAAGCCGGTTGCGCACTGCGATGGTGGTTCGCCGCCTCGCATTGGCGGGCGCGGAACGCATGCTCCTTGTTCGCCGTGACGGTCGCATCTGGTGCTGGGGCCGTGCACAGGCTGGGGAGAGTGTCCCGGATGCTGCGGATGAACATGATGGTAGCTGGCGGCAGGCCTGTGGCGGGGTGGGGAATGGCGCGATATGCGAGTAGCCACTCATCAATTACAGCATGCAAATCTCGGCCATCCAGTTGGGCAGCACGGAGGACCTTGCCGATCGTGCAGTTCATCTGCTCCACTGCAGCTTTGGATTGGGGTCAGAGAGGAGGCGTGCAGCGGTGAGCAATGCCCATCTGGGCCAGGAAACGGTTGAACTCCGCCGAGCGGAACTGGGGCCGTTGTCAGAGACCACTTGTTCTGGCAGGTCGAATGCTGCGAACGCAATGCGGAGCACTGCAAGGACGCCAGCTGTAGCAGGAGTGGAGTTGAACACGTGAGTGACTGGGTAGCGACTCAGTTGGTCCACCGCAACCAAGAGTGTGCTTCAACCTGGCAAGGGGCCATACAGGTCGACAAACACCCGTTGCCATGGCACCGTCGATGGTGGGGTCAGTGTGGATTCCGGCCTGTATGGGCCTGTTGGCGTGTTTGCCTGACAGGAGAGGCATTGGCAGCAGAGAGATTGACGTCACGCCAGGCCACCAGACTTTCGTGTGCAGTCCTTGCTTGGTCCGTGTCATGCCTTGGTGGCCGGAGTGGGCCAGCTGAAGTGTCCGCTCTCGGAGAGACAGTGGAATCACCAGACGATGGTCCTTGAGCAGGGGACCGTCGGCGGCGGAGAGTTCATGCCTTTGCGTGTAGAAAGGGCGGATGTCCACTGCCTTGTCGTCCCACATGCCCGTCTGCAGTGACAGCAGCACGGCCTGGAGCGTTGAGTCTGCTCGAGTTGCGCCTTGGATGTCGGACAAGAGGAGGGCGTTGGGAACAGAGGACTGCGCGATGGCATTGATATAGGCGGTGTCCTCCTCCTCACCAACATTCGGCAGGGGAGGATGTGGCTGAGGGTGACGAC